TTGCAAAACAGCAGGCAGAGGAGAGCCCAGGCACGGAGGAAACTCATGGGTGGTGCGGGGTATTTTTATGTAAATGCAGAATGAAGATGCATATTTCCAACAGACAGCTAAGCCTCAGAGATGGCCACAAACATTTTCACTTGAAAGAAGTAAACCCAAATGGCCACAATAACCAGTTCTACTGAGCATTGCTGTACGTGGAGCCAAGAAGAGCTGCTGGGGAAGTGAAGATTCGCCTACTCTGGCCACACGCAGCTCTTTCCCATGGCGTGAAACAGCATTAGGAAAAAGAAAATAGCATTCAGATGACTCTCAGCCCACCACAAGTGGAAGGCCTTGTGGATACTCAGATATTATGGCCAAAAGGGACCCTCAGATCATCTAGTCTGACTTCCTAAATAACACAGACTGTGGGTTTCATCCATGGGATCAATAGGTTGGATTTGTCTAGAGCACCTCCTTGGAAAAGGCATCCAATCTCAGACAGCCCCCAGACAGAAAATCCACCACTTCCCTTAGTAGTTTGTTCCAACAGTTAACCACCCTCATCACTCATTTTAAAATCTGCCTAGCTTTAACCTCCACCCACAAATCCCCATTACATCTACATGCACTAAGTTAAAGACTCTGCTAGGACCCTGCGTGAAGTCCTGCATTGCTATTTCCTGAGTGCTGATTGCAAACCGTTGAGAGACACAGGTGTGAAAAAAGTACAAATATCCTCTTACCATTTGTTGTCGCAGAATTTATACCGATGATCGTCAGCTGGGACGATGTCGATCAACAGGATGTACTTGGTTTTCGGGTTCATTCCGGTTACTTTAACCTTGTAACTAGGAAACATCCTCCTTAGGAAAAGCAAAGGATGAAGATGTTAGTAAGCAAGTTGAAATGCAGCATAAGCTAAGAGAACAGGAGAGGGGAGACCCAACAGAATTGCCACTGACAAAGTGCAAAAGCCCAAGGGTGGCATTCAATCGGGTACAGGAGATCTGTGAAAGACCAGGCACGTCTACACGTTCATTAATGCGCAATGGTTACTGTGCATTTAATTAGTACTTGTATAACCAATACTAAATAAATGTGCAGTAACCAGAGTTACTGTGCAGTAGTGCCAGCAAATGCCTTTTTAGTGACATTATACGTGGTAGCCTAATAATACTGCATAATAATTAGCACTGTCCATGCTGTGATGTGTTAGTGTGCAGTGTTATTAGGCTCTTGCACAGTGAGTGCCTCGTGTAGATGTCTGTGTACCACCCAAGTGCCACCTGGATGAAACACATCCCTATGCAGAGATTCAGCCCAGAGCTTGCACACCAAGTAATTCCCCCTTCCACTACTAAAATAAAGCAAAAGGGGGACTTCCATGGGGCACTGCCCATTTCCATAGGGGAAGAGACATGCCCAAGGCAGGGGCTGGGCCCTCAGCTGGTGCACACGATGACTTTGTACCAATCTGCTGCCAAGAGCAGGTTGCCTCCCTAAAGGGAGGGTGGCCGCTGATTTTAAAAGCTGGTCAGGTTCGTCAAGGAAACAATCAGCCTCTAGCCAGAGGCCACACAGACAGAAGCTAATATTACCAAAGAGGATGGGTCTGAAAGGAACTAAATACAATCGAACACTATGAAGTCCCAGCAGGAAGGTCTCTTGGCCAAAGTCAAGGCAACAGGGACACTCTTGGGGAACGTCCATGTCACAAACATACCAGACCTGGTAATGGGACCTGCAAAGGTGCCATGCTGCTCAGCCCGTGCTACCTGCCCCCCTTCCCCATGCTGGAAGCACATTATCTGGGTTAACTGGGACTGCCACTCAACCACGGGCATTGTCACACTGCTTCTGGCAGGTTCCCTTTGGTAAGGCCATGCTGTACATCAAAAAGGCACGGAAATGTTTGGTTTCCTACACCTGTTGCACTTGTATGGGAAGCTGATTCCTAGTAAGTCTGCCACTGGGGCATTCGCTGCAGCTGATAAGTTTACAAGAAGACCTTATAGCACTTCTTATTCAGGAGTGTGGCCTCTGAATAGGGTGAAATTCATCTTTTTTAAACAAGCTACGTGAGCTCCTCTGCATACAGTATCTGCCTTATGAATCATGGAGGAAGAGCCATATGGGCCGGCTCAGAAAAGTGCAGCCAAAACGCAATGGGGAAGGGGTTCCCATCTCCTATCTCCCAGCAAGGCTCCAGCAGTCATTGTGTTCCCCTAAAAATGACCAGGAGCCCCGGAGAGGCTGAACTGAGCTCTGATGGACTGGGGACGGGGTTTAACATGCCAGGAGTCAGCAGGAAAAATAACAAATGCGACTTAATGAGCTTTTAAAATAAGCAAAACAAGCGCCAGGGCACAACTTTCCCATTCACAGGTTCCTGGCATCCATGAAACCGGCCCCTACCTACCCAACCTGCAAAATTAAAAACCTTTTTAAATAAAAAAGGGGGATCTGCAAAAAAAAAAAAAGAGAGGTGGTTAAATTGTCTGCTGGTGTAAGGAGCTGCGTCTCCCTGCAGATTAGGCTCCTGCACAGTGAGCGTCTTGTGTAGATGTGCCCGCTATGTACCACCCAAGTGCCACCTGGATGAAACACCTCCCTATGCAGAGATCCAGCCCAGAGCTTGCACACCAAGTAATTCCCCCTTCCACTACTAAAATAAAGCAAAAGGGGGACTTCCATGGGGCACTGCCCATTTCCATAGGGCAAGAGATGTGCCCAAGGCAGGGGCTGGGCCCTCAGCTGGTGCTATAAATGCTCTTTGAGAACTGCATGTCACAGAGTCAAACCCTCTGCCTGTGTGAGCTGCTGCAAGGCTCTTGCAAGCAGTGGAGCTTCGTCGATTCGCATCAGCAGAGCATTTAACACAACACTGATTGCAGAGACCTCTGCCTCAACATGTTACGTTGTGGAACAGCATTGAGAGCAAATGGGGGGAAAAAAATCCAACTGAAGTGATAAAAAGTATTTCACACAGTGATCGTGCCTGATCTTGCAACTCTTATCAGTGCCAGTATCTATCCTCTGTGAAATCCTTTCCAATATGAACTTTCATTTCTACCCAGGAGAACTACAATCTTTTCTCCTATGCCTAAGGAAGTGTGTTCTTGCCTGAAAGCTTGCAATTAAAGAACTTGTTTTTGCAAAAATCTGGTTGGCATCTCTACTCTGAGTCCTGAGTATCTATTTGAGTCTTTCCATTGGTTTCAGTGCTTGCTTGGTCTTTTAACCCTAAGAGTTTACAGCATCAGGAAGCTAAAAATCCTATGAGTAGCTTTTCTGTTGGCTCTGTGATACTACCCACTGCCTTACCCCGCAAAAATAAGTCGTTTGAGCAAAGTGACCCACAGCTACAAAACAAATCCATAATGCATCAACGCATTGCAAAAGCTGCAGAAGGGTGAGATGAAAACACTTCTATCCAGGAGCGACTGCAATGACCGTGCCCGGCATGAACAACAGTGGACCGAATCTCAATGTCATTCGTCTATTAAAATTCCCTTGAAATTCATACAGATTTTAGCCTCGGTTACAAATTTGGCCAAGCCAAGAGAGTCCTGCCCCCCAAGATGAAGCTGATATCTTCAGCTTATTTTTCTTCCACGCTTATCCTTCGCGAACAATTTTCTTCCAGCTAATACAGAGGAAGGTTGTATCTGGGGTCAGGAAAGCGGTGCGCTGTAGTGATCGGTGAACAGTATCGGCCTGTGAAGGGAGCAGTAGTCGTCTGCACCACCATTTTGTAACTGCTTGGGGAGAAGGCAACAAAATGGGCCCTGTTCAAATTCATTTGAATTGACTCTTTTCACACCCTGCATAAATCCCAGATGTTTACCATGTAATTAGCTGGGACTAAAAAGGGGTGGTTTACCAATGTCCATATTTGATTTTCATTCATAAACTATGCACTCCTCTTAACCTTGTCCTTGCACAGGTAAGCACCTGTATAAATACAGTAGGACATTTCAATTTGCGAATACACAGCCTGATTCACACGTTTAAAAAAATGGCACAAGGAATCCAACCTGAATGCCAAGACTTAAAAAAAAAAAAATTGAAAAAAAATTTCAGACCTTCAAAATTACACTTATAAATGAAAGGGGGGCAGGGAGGATTACTTTAAAAATTTAGATCAATATTGTTTGACAGTTATTGAGCTCACCAGTAGAGACTTCTACACCGGACATTTTTATAACCTGCAGCTTCTGAACGTCTTTTTCCTTCAATCATTTTGCGTACTGCGCTGCATCCACGCTGCTAAAGTAGCCGGACTGATATACAGTAAACGTTAAGTGCTTTTTTAATGGCATTTAAAATTAAGCTTCAGCATATGGAGTTCATATAGAGTAGACATGCCTGAGTTTATAATGTTCTTTAGTATAGACCTCTAAAATAAATACAAAGAGGCAAAGTACTACTATAATATATACAGCTCAAATTCTTTGCAGATAACAAATGGGAACATGCATCTGATTGAAGGTGTTGCTTAACTTGCAAACTGCTCGGGATCTTGCAGTGGTCGCATTACGTTTAGCAAGTCAACAGCCTGAGATGCAATCAGATCTGCCAACTCTCTGCAGCCTTTTCCAGGAAAGCATTGGGTAGAATTTAGTAATTTTGGCCACGCAGAGACATTTCATCATTATTATTAGCTGCTGCATTTTGGCCTTAAAAAAATATGCGACTAATGTGCTGTCCAGGGACTTGTCAGATTAATTTTTCTTAATGAAAACATATTTCTCAACTTCTTGGCAAAGTCTGGCTCAGTAAATATCTCTGCGCAATACGCTACAAACAGGGGTCGTTTGTTTTTAGTGAAGATGCATGACAAATCAAGGGTCTGGGCCCCAAAAAATGCAGCAGTAAAGTGCCGATTCAAAAGCCAGAGCGAGCGAGTGTGAATATTGTATATTTTTGTCCCGGCTTTTATCGGCCTGCCCAGCTCTAGAAAGAGAAGACAAAGCACACCGGCAGGGCTGCGCAAGCCGTGCACATCCCGGGGAGAGTGCCTTCAGTGGATGCAAGTCCTGGGAACCATCCAGGCGTCTGCAGGCTTATCCGGACTTATTGCCGCTCAGTGGGACTAGTTATAGGGACTGGCTTTCTCAGAAGATATTTTCTGGAAGGCTCTGGGCTGGAAATGGCTTCACAAGAGCTGGGCTTGTGCCTCTCAGCTCCTGTCCTCTCTGAAGAGGACACGACCATCATACATGTAAAACTGACCAACACTTTTCCACCTCTGTGAAAGTTCAGTCCAGTTTGGTATGAGGTCTGGATGAAGATCTAGACACGTTATTATTTCCCCCATACAGCATACTATAGTCCTATAGTGCTTAGCACCAAGAAAATGCTTAGCAGTTTGAAAACTGTAATAAAAGCCTAATTCAGCAGGGCACAATCAGGATCACTGGCAGGGTTTTCTAAAGTCAGGCTGCAGCCGAGACCCACTAACTAGCCCCGTGAGCACCCCCTTTGGAGATGGGAGCAGGTAAAATGAGTCCTGCCTTCCAGATGGGGAAACTGAGGCACAGAGGTTACGCGCAGGGTAAATTTACAGTGGTGCATTAATGCTGCTACGTAATAATTTGCCTGCGGTGGCAGACTGAGTCGCTATCCGAGCGGGGATTAACACCTGCCATTCCTGGTTGCACGGTCCCACATTCAGATCAACTACATCGTTCCAACCCACCGAGGATTTTTTTGCTCTATAATGTTGTGCAGAGGTGGGGGGAAGTCTCCCAAGAAAGAAGGAAGTGCAGAAGTGCCAAGCGGCTGCCCTTCATGCCTGTGCATCATGACATCTGAAAGAGAGGAACTAAAATGCTGCTTCTCTCTCCTTTCCTCTTGCAAA